GAAACAAATAATCCGATTGTAATTTTATGTTATGTAAATAATAAAATATGTTTTTATTTCACAAATAAAAGATAGTTGTATTCCAAAAGAAAAAAGAGATTGAAAAGCTCAAGATAAATTAGTATACGAAGCTTTGGAGCTTATTATCATCTTACGAAGCTTTCTTTTCATATTTTTAATTGAAATAGTATAAGATAATTATTTCATTTACAATATATATTTACAACTATAACCGACACGATGCTATTTTTCATTTCTAAAAGAGACTTTCTATTCTATCGATATTAATAGGTTTAATGAATATTTAACTAATTTAATTTATTAAAAAGCAACAGTTCCAGAGGGTTTTTTTTTTTTTTTTTTTTTTTTTTTTTTTTTTAAATTTATTAATCGCATTCGACATGTGAATTTATGGATACTATTATTATTATTTCGCACATATTACTGGATAAATTGAGAAAAGTTTTTAAAATACTTTAAATTATTTTATGTATAATATTAAATGCCAATTTTTGTTTTGTTTTGTATTTATTACTTATAATATTGCGATAATGGGCAGGTTTCGACTTTTATTTATTTCCATGAACAACACTATACCAACGGATATATTTTTAATACGTGTTGGCGATTTCGAATAAAATAACAAAATTATCTTTTCATATTTTTACGATATAATTTCAAGCAATTTTAAGAAAAGAAATATTATCATGTCAATTCAAATAATAGAAAAAGAGATCATATAAATGTTGAAGCTTTATTATAATTAAATATTGCCACTGGAATAATTATTTATTGTTATGCGCTAATTGATTAGAGTCGTTTGTGCGCTAATAATCAATCCACCATTGCTACGAAGATTTTCAAGAACTTAATTCAACACACTAAAATGATTAAAAGTAGCATTAAAAATTTTTGTCAAAAAAAAAAAAAAATCCTGAAATTATTCGACAAAGACATCTATGCTTACTCAATTGCACTTTTGAAGCAAACAGTCGTATACATTTGGGTAATATCGAGATTATATAAATAGCTGCGGTGAGAGAGGAAAATCATAATTTGCGCAATACAGATCCTAATCTACGTAACTTCAAACATTACCTTTTCAAGTCTTAAATTTATACAATCGACACTTTAATACAGATCCATGGGATAATTCAATATTAAGTCAATTATTCTTCAAGTAAAATGATAAAAGCATCAACAACGTCGACATCCAAGCGGCAAAGTTTACATTCATTACTTGCACATTTAATACCAACAAATTGCAAACCAACATTCTCTTAACTACCCAACCAAAATACCTTTACTAAATACCTACACGCCTGCAATCGCAACTATTATCATTATCTCGATCGTTTCATCAACCACTGGCGCGTTGCTTTTCATTGATCCACGATATACAAAACTACGACGACACTTAAACGGTATGCCATCACACACTCTTACATCGTACGACTGCAACAACAATCTTTTCAACGTGTAGTAAGTACACACGCATCCCATTCGCCTCTGCCCATTCGGAATTTATTTCTCCCAAAATATCGATTATCCTCTCAAGTATCAACCTACATCCCTCGTTCCTTCCTCAGCACTCCCCCCCCCCTCCCGCCCCCGACTCACGGACTCACCGACCCAGACACCGCCCGTCCCACACCGCGCTCCGAGTGTCTGTAGAATGGGTGGAAGGGGGATAAACTATTCGCGCCCACAGCTTAATAATCTACGCAGTTCCCCGTCCAAAAGCCGAACTTCGGCGTCGTCCGGCGGTGGCACTCTCCTCCGATCTGCAACTCTCTTCGCGCGGCGATCAGGAAGAAAAACGACGCGGCCACGGTAGAAAAGGCAAAAGCACGGCCGGCGAGCCCCGAGGCGAGGAAGAGTTGGTAGGGAGAGAAAAGGAATGTAGCGAATGGGGTCGCTGCCGTTGAAGGCAAACGGCTGCGCCTGTCGACCTGCCTTCCACCGTTCCTCGCTCGTCCGCGCGACCGCTGCCTTCTGCCTTCTTGGACACGTAACCGAGCCGTTCACCACATTCTTCGCTCGTTAATTCTCTGGCTACCCGCGAGCACTAGCCGAGCCATGTGCGCGGGGAGCGGGATCCTTGGACGCTCGCTGTCGCTTACCTTATGGTCCGTGCGCTTACCTGCTTACCTTTGTCGTATTGCTGCGATTGGTATTTGGCGGGATGGCGGTGGTAGCGGTGGTAGCGGTGGTAGCGGTGGTAGCGGTGGTAGCGGTGGTAGCGGTGGTAGCGGTGGTAGCGGTGGTAGCGGTGGTAGCGGTGGTAGCGGTGGTAGCGGTGGTAGCGGTGGCGGCGGTGGTGGCGGTGGTGGCGGTGGCGGCGGTGGTGGCGCAGAGGGGAGGGGCAGGTGGCACCGCTCGATGGTGTCTTCTCGCTTGGGGTAAAATTGGCTGGTTTGATTGACGGGAGACGGTTTGTCGGGCGTGTCGCGGACAGTTGGAATTTCCTGGACGATGACTGCCGAGGAGTCGTGCAAGGAAGTCGGACGACCTGGGATAGATTCGCTTGGTTGTATTCGCATCGCGTAGAGAGGTGTGTGCGAGACTAACGGCGTTCATTACCATCAAGTCAACCGACGACTGAATTACTGTTTGCCATCGGCCGGTACCCGTCGGTACACCATCATTAAACGTAAAACAAATGCCAATGATAATAGGGTAAAACAAATTGGTTTGATCGACGGAGTTGATTGTACGAGAGTGTGGGAGAAGTTATTATAGGATGTTCATCGAGGGTTCGTTAGGTGTCGCTAGCAAGCGTCGTTAATACGCATTCCTACGTATTTTCAAGCTACGAGGCTCGAGGAATATTGAGAATTTTTACATCGGTGACGTGATCGGTGGCGTCTTTGCCTTTCCTAATTCTAGCTCTTTTACTCTCGACTACTGCGTAATTTACAAATCAATTCGACTGGAAACACGCGCGCACGCACATGCATCTGCAATTCAAGAGCTAATGAGCACGTGCGAATATGTGTGCACTAACGGTGATTTGCATTATATTGCATCTGCAATCGGAATGTCTCTTTCGTAGTCACTCACCTGTTAGAATGACAAAAGAATGACAAAGTAAAGATTCACCCTCTGATATAATTTAGGCTAATGCATAATAATTTAATTTAAACGAAAAGCCGACTGGTGGCAGTTTTTCAGGCCAACATAGATATTTGACAAAACGTCTTCATTTACTCGCAAAACTTCCTATCAAGCGATCCTTTATTTAGCACTTTCGAGTGGAACTTTTTTTCGTTGCGCTTGATGTGTTAACTCTTTTTGTGAAATCGGCTTCTCTCATATCATCGTTACAGGACTCTTGTGCGATGCTGTCTTCTTGGCGCACTAACTTTTTCTGAATACAATCGAAATAGTGTTAGAATACGCTCGAGCTCGCCAAGTTCGCTAAGCCGAGTACATAATTGACGAGAAAGAAGGCAATAGAAAGTAAAATTGTCTTAGTATGACGCGAATTGTTGAGGTTACTCATTGACAATTTTGACTGTGGCACGAAATGAATCTTTGACTCATTTGTTGATAATTGCATTGTTCTTTGCTCTCATTATCTGTCAAATATGATTGTGTAGGAGCTTAGTTTTGTGTATTCTGCAGAGGTAAGCGTCCATATGATTAAATTCAAATTTCTTATTGAATATACTGTTATTTAGCATTTCATGCTATTTTATAATAATGACATGAGAATGAATTTGTCAATTTTACAATTATTCTTTTCAATTTCTGAGAGTTCATTTCCTATTTTATTTGATTAAGAATAAAGTATTTAAAAGTTACTCGATGAAAGTTTTTAATTTTTTTTTTTTTTTTTTTTTTTTTTGTGGAAATTTTAATAATATATTAATTTAATAATGTAATTTTTCTTTTAATTATATTATATTAATTTAATAATGTATGTAATGTTCACATACAATGGAAATGTCAAACCAATGTTATAATTTCATATTTTATTATGTATTAATAAATCATCGCGTATCTTCGGACTAATTAATAATCTTATTTTATCTTATTATTTAGCAATATAAAAATATATTTATTGTATTTAATTATTCGACGTAACAGACACATTTTACATATGAAATATAAAGCCAACAGCTTTGTTTTTATATAATTGAAAAATACATTTAGAAACTACTAGTAAAACTCTCCCTTGTACTATTAATAATAAAATGTTAACGCATAAACATATTAATTAGCCTATTCATTAGAATTACTATGTAATATCGGAATATTATTTTGAAGTAATTATATATATATAATCATTATTGTCGATGCTTAAAACACGTCAAAGAATGTTGCAAATCGAAATTTACGTTCGATGGCATATTCGAAAGATAAATCGCTTATTACAGATATAACATCATACAGAAAATTTTATATTTAATTTGCGAAAAGTGAGAATAGTAATTTTACATAAGTTACCAATTAAAGTTGCTCGAGTATTTGTAGAAATTTTAGCCCATTGGCAATGAATCTATTGTTAAAATCTGTTGTTTTCCATTCATTCATATACCTCTGTTAAAATATTATTCGATCTCGAGTAATGGGCGATTTATTAGAATATTTCAATAAAGTTAATTTCTTCCACAATATAATATGCTCTTACAGTTTTCCCTATACAATCTATAACTTTTTTCACAATGTTTTCTAAAACTAATTGTACAAAAATATAAAAACTGAAAGTAGATACGCTTATGTAATAAAAAAAATTCAATACATATCCTCATTGTATAGAGTACGCAAAGTATCTATGAGAATAGACGTGACAATTAATGTATGAAAGAGTTACGTGATTTTTCTAGAGTTTAACGCACGACTTACTTCAGCAGTAAATATAAAAAAAAAAAAGTAAAAAAGAAAAGAGAGAGAATAAGAAAAATGTCTGACTTCGTTCAGAGCACACGAAGACAAAGTTCAGTCAAGACACTCGTTCCATTCACCGTCTTCGTTGTGTTAAGGCAGTCTTAACACAAGCACTCGTATGTTAAAGTCCTGTCAGGAGCAATGGCATCGTTTAAGACTTCAAGGTCGTCATCTAAAAGTGGCTCGACGACATCCTTTCGCGGCGATCCAGCAGCTTGCGAACGTTGAAGTTTGGACAATTAGTCTCGTCTTCGGCCCCGAGACAATTCACAACACCATCGCAGCGTTGCTTGGCCGGCAAACACTTCGGGTGCAGCTTATTGCAATTAAAGCCCGGACATGTCGAGCGTATCTGCCGTAGGAATTCTGGAGCGTTGCGATTATCTGCGATAGACGGAGAACAAATGGATTATAGTGCGCCAGAATTTCTGTCTTTGTTGAAGTTTATTAGAATGGAGTTTAATAGAAGTTTATTTCATTAGTTGTGCAAAAGTTGTGATCATTGTATAGATCATCGTCGATACTTCTATCGAATAATTCACATTTTCTTGTAATCTTTTGTAATTTGATTCTTATTATATGAACACATTCAAATTTAAAATTATTATTGGAATACAGACAAATCAAATAATATTATATAATTTTATTACTTTCACATTCCTTTTTTTTTTTGTTATATTGGTCACTAGATTGTTATTACTAGAATATGAAAAAAATTACGTTTTTTTTTCTCCAATATGTATGTATTTATATAAAATGTGAAAAAAATATCATTAAACATAATTATATTAATTCATATTAAATGTATGTAAAGATTATGAAAGTCTGATTTTTGAATTTTTTCTAATTAATAATACAGAGTTAATTATAAATTGTCGATTATCTCAATTATATAAGATGCTTCCTAGTGATCATCAATTAAACATTTTATTTATACAATAATTTTTTTTTCTTTTTTAATTACAATATTTTGACAGCTTATTAATTTTTCTTTGATCTTTTAACAATACAATATAAATAAAATTACGAGTTTGTCAGGTAGCTATAATAAATCTAATTTTTTACATATTAAGATCATATTAGATTAAAAAAATCAATTTTTATAAAAATGTTTTAAGTTTTTAATACAAAAATGAGAATATTTTTATTCGTATTGCTAGAACATATCTTTCATTCAAGAGCAGAAGAAAAATTTTTTGAAATATTATATTTCTGTAAAAGCATCTTCTTGTACATTCTTTGTATCCAAAATCTTTACTCTTTTTAATAATTATCATCACTTATTACTAATTAATAAATTATTATTACTTATTACTAATATTAAATTATTACTAATATTCTGAATTCAATAATAAAATGATAATTCTTAAAAATTTTATAAAATTCTTCCTTTACAATAGCCGATATGAATGAGTCAATAATTATTCATTCTAGTCATTAATGACACTTTTTCAAAATATTTTTCTTACCACAATTTATATTATATATATATATATATATATATAAATTGTTAAAAGTTATTTCATATCATATATTCACAATATAAAAATACTTATATAGCAATTTGATTTTATAAATATAAATATTAGTAATTTTATTCAATTGATAGAAATATTTATTGTGAAGAAAAACCAGCAATGAATATTCTTTTTTTATCATCGAAGGAATATAAAAAAAGTATTTAAAATTTGGTCTATGATTAAATTTATTTATAATGATTATATTTAAATTATTATTTATGAAAAATTGGATAATAAAGAACTTTATTAGGATAATTCATGTTAAATAACTTAGTTCACGGGCATTTCATGGGGTCAAATTCGATCCCAAATTCGATGCCAAAAGATTCTTACATTAATATTTTTATTTAATATTCAGTATACATTGTGTAATAATTAATATAAGATTCATTTACATCTATATTTGAAGTCAATTACTAAAATGCAATAAAAATTAATGAAAGAGTCAATTAATAATTCGCATAATCGACATTTCATAATGATATTAATGATTATCATAATCATTTGGAATTTTATTCGTTTGATAATTTCATGTATTTTATTTAAGAGTGCTTATTTTGTATCTGAGTCGAGTATTTTTTTATCTTTGAAATCTATAAAATTTATTAACTCAATGGTCAATTTTTTCGTATTTTTCATTGATTTGGCTTGAAGTTATAGCCTGAGATTAAAGATTATATAATTGAATTCCACTCATTTCTCATATTGTTATTGAATTTTACCTCTTTATAATATATTGTTATACCGCTCTGTCCGTTTTATGCCACTGATAATAAGTTTTTTCTTTTATCAAAACACTTTATTATAAATATTATTAGGAAACTCTGCTTAAAGTGTGAGTCACGACTAAAGCCAGTTTTTTCTGGAATTGTGCACAGTCTACGATACAACGTGTAAAAGGAAGTAGTAATTGCAAACGTAAATTGCACGTGATTCGTAGGAAGAACGTGAAAGGGCGAAGAAGAGCTAATGATAAGTGGGAAGAGAGAAAGACAAAGATAACGAGCTAACAGCGAGTGAAAGAACGAAGGGAAGGGGGAATCTTTTAGACTCGGAGTGCTTCAAACCTCAAACTTCATTGCCGTTTATTATACGATAGACGCGCTTAAATATATCAAGATAAGAGCTATTTTTAAGATAAATTCCATTTCAACAAATGAGTTCTTCAGGATAATTTGGATGGTGGTGCCGGAGGGGCCAAAAAGGCAGGAAGACGGAAAAAAAGAAAGAATCTCACTTTGTGCCTATGCCTCTCATGACGTCATCTCGCTTTGTAAGTAAATTTAAAAAAAAAAGGTAGCAACGTAGTGTGTCAATGTGCGACTTTATCGAGAGGTAATCTCGGCGAATCTATAATTATGTTAAATTCGCGTACGGATTTAATTGTGGATGGAAAGAGCGCACGTAAAATTCAGCCAAATAATCACAATTAGTCACCAATAAAATCCAAACGAAACAATGCAGTTGCAAAACATAGATTGTAATTTCGTTTGTTTTTCTTTCATTCTTTTTTTTTTCTTCTTAACTTGATTTCACGAGGCTATTGGCTGTGTATTGAGTGTCATGGAATGCTGATAGGAAGGTACTCGCGAAAATACGCGTTGAGAATAATGCGTATTAGTAGTGACATATCTGGTGTTAGAGCGAAAGCTAGTAAGCGCGTATGTAAGACAGAGTGGGAGAACGCGACATCGACCTTAGGAGTAATTTCTTTTTATTACGTCAGTTTATGTCGTTAATAAATTGCATGTCAGTTATTGGCCAAGTTATTGTTATTATCGTTTTCTTTGGCCTTATTTCTCACTGGTTCGGTGTGCTATAATTTCTTGAGTGCCACAAGCCTATTTATTAATTTTGTAGAGGATGCTGTTTTAATGCATCAATTGATATTTCGTATCTTACAAGTAAACTATAAGACATTCCATTGTATTAAATTGGATTTTTTTCCTACGTAGGATTATTCGCATAGATTCTCGTATAGGACCCTAAGTACGATTATTAGTGCATAAGTTTCCATTTTTCATTTTTATTATATCATTCGATCAACATACTTAAACGTCTCATTGGATATTTATCTAGAATTGCTAATTTCTCGATTGATGGCTTATGTAATCGATTCAAATATATATTTTATATATACAATATGAAATTACATCTTGAATCTGATAATTGGTGAATAATGTATACGATCAAAGTATACACCAAATGCTTTATTTACGTATAAGCTTTATTGTTTCAATTATAGTTAACAAATGTATGAAAATTGCAATGGCAATGACAAACTGACAAATAATCCTCCTAGATTTCAATCTAATCGGCAAAAAGTGGCTACGAAGATTTTTCATACAAAAATGATTATGAATATATAATTATCTATGTGGGGCCAGGCGATGCAATGATAAAGAAGAATCTTATGAAGCGAAAGATTAATTAGCAAAAAATATTGACATTCCGAGTAGAGAGCATTCGTTTATTAAAGTTCAGATGTATTCAATCGCTGAATTATATTCCACTCGTACATACACGGACAAGCGATTATGAAATAATCAAATAATACTAATATGAATAAGTCGACAAACTTACACAAAATACTATTAATCCAATCACGAAAGTGAGAAACTCTAGTGTACGCTCCTGGTTGATTGCGCCTACCACATCCAATGCCGTGGCTCACTATTCCACCAACGTACCAGTCGTAGCCCCAATCGGATGACCTGAAACAAAACCAAAGAGATTTAATGCTTCGATAAAATATCCAATCGCCGATAAAATAATCTTTATATAGGACCTGCACATCAAGGGGCCCCCACTGTCGCCTTGGCAAGCGTCCCGTCCTCCTTCTCTATTACCTGCGCAGATTTCAGCTCGATTCTTATCAATTGCTTGCGTGCAGTTTATTATTGCCACCTCAACTTCTTGTAAATGGTCGACTGAAAGTTTAAGCGCAGCTTAGCGAATGTAGTTTTTAATTTAGACTTTAAGCGATTCATCTCATTTAATCGCTCGATTGCCTTCTTTGCTAACGTAAATGTACTTGAGCACCATAGGCTTTGTTAAATTGTCGACTAAAAATTAACGATACACTGTAACTGATTTTTCGATATGACAATGACAATTAGCACTCGTAATGCGGTAATATGCCGTTAAAAATCTATGCTCCACGAACGCATTATTTTATTATCGTGAAATATATGCATTGAAATGAAAAATTGGAAAATTGGACAGGCTGGTGGTCATGTTCATTTAATTAGAATTTTTTTACAATTATAATTTTGCTTACGATCGGAACCCCCTTCTCGAGTCGCGCCCCATCCCACGGCTACGCATCTCTGTCCAGGATACGGCCGCTGCTGACTCGTTAGGAAAAAGTTGCTGTACACGTCTGGTAAGCGTACAGGTCTCACCCAGATATTGAAATACAGAGGTTCGTTCAGGAGACAGAGTGCTATGTCATTTTGCAGGGTTAAGGTATTGTAATGCTCGTGGATTACCAGGCCGATTAGGTAGCGCGTCTGGCGAGTCGGTGAGTATGAAAATCGCCTCAGTACTCCTGCGTCGATATCGTAGTATTGCTGCTTGTAACTACGATAACATATTGCAATTATATGACAGATGTATAGGAAATGAGAGAAAGAGATACTTGTTACATCCTTTTACTCCTTTACTCACGAGGAGCTTATTTCTCTTAATTAACAATCCTATTCTAAGAGGCTTATGACGCGAGTGCGGCATTTACATAAAATTTTTAATATTCGATGGGACAAGATGCTTGAACTATTGTGTCTTTAACCAAGTAGTTAGAAATTTATACAAAATTCCTGACATAATAGTTATTAATACAAAATTCAATACTTTAAGCATTGAAAATTACCTGGATTAATTGATAATTGAAATGATAATTTGACAAGTACGAACCCTATGATTATATATAATGAATATACTCTTCGCATAAGCAGAAGGTATTTTTCATTACGATGACAAGACTCTCATCAATTTTATACATTTTATGCTTCACTCTCCATAAGTTCCAAGAAAGAAGAATCCTCCTCATAATTAATGAAAAACTTTTTTATTTTTTATTTTCATAGATAATTTCATAATTAATTTAGAATTTTAATAACATTTAACACTGATAGAGCAATGTATTAGAAGTATCTAATTTATAAGTTTAAAATGGGTTATTGTTATTTTGGTGCAAATGTGATTGTTCTGCTGTGGTTATGGTTCATTCTATTACTGGAGATAATAATATTTTGTCCGAATAATGTCATTTATACGTAGCGTAATAATTTCATCCATTGTCGTTGCTTATCATTCATTAAATAATTCAAAAAGCAATAACGCGTAGCCTTTTAGTTCCCATAAACCATATCACTTTAACCGAACCATTATACATTTGTTATTTCTTAAGGCCTTTAGATGCTATACGGAACAATAAAAGCCGACGAACTGTAAGGGCGACTGACTTACTTATTGAAGCAATGGGCCGCACTCAGTATCCAAAATTCGTTCAATATAACGCCACCACAATGAAAGTGACCATTCTTGTTGATTGCAATAATAAAAGGCCAGGAGAGTGGTAAACTGTTGTGGCCGCCCACAATTCCGAGAATCGGATCGTAGTTTGTGTTGTCGCTTGTTGCATTAGCTCGCTCGTTGTCAATTGGGTATAGGTTGTCGCTGCTTAACGGTTGGTCAAAACGCGAATCGTTGGTAAATGGACAGCGCACGTATGCTATCCCATCGGGACACTCGGACACCAGTTTATTGGAGTATCCGTCAGTTGTTAAATAAGGTCCCATCTCGCTTTGTCGTGGTATCTTCACTAGTTCAAATTCGATATCCCCACTAATTTTTTAGTCATTTTCAGTTAAATTTAAAAAACTCCATTCTATTTTATATATTCTATTTTATGTTTCATAGGCTTAAATGGCACTATTAAAGTTTACAAGCTCGCGAGTCATATTAATGAGCGCTAATTGGTGTTTGGCGTCATATCGAGTTTAACATTTAGTTTTTCTTTGTTACTAGTAATCAATGTAATTAGCAAAAAGTAATAATTATCTAGAACATTTTTCAAATAATTAAAATATTGTATGACTAGCGACTAGTCGGATGTTTAAATGTTTTTTTACAATTTTTCTTTAAGTTCATTAAAATAACAATAAAAACAACAAATTTACTAGGTAATTGACGTTCATATATATATATATATATATATATATATATATATATATATTGATATATCAAATAAAATGTAAATTAAATGTTAAGTATTTTTACTCATTATAATTAATTTTACAATTTAAAAACTTTCTTTAATAAGTGTTTATCAATGTAATTTTCATATTAGAAACATTTGCAGATTCTCTTAAGTATAAATAAGTTTCATTAAGTAGTTCTGCATTTATATATTATACATAGCCTAAAGTCTTATAATTAATAATTTAGTTGCTCTAGTTTTCTTTAATTCTTTAGATTATAGAGTGTTTAAAATTTAAAAATTTTGGATTTATAGAATTTAAGAATTAGAGCCAAAAGGAAAACTAGAAATACTTATACTACGAAATATAAAATGTCAAAATTTACATTAAAAAAAAAAAAAATCAAGTCATATAGACTTATCGATGTTTATATATAAAAATTTTGCAAACCTTAAAAATCCAAGCTCACTCATACATGAATCTTTGGCCCAAGCATAAGCATATCCACAGACGGGATACCATCTACTTTGAAAATTTTTTTGAAGGAAACCCACAGAAGAACCAACTGCATTTATCTACTCGACGATAGAAATTATTTATATTATTTGCAAGTATTGTAATACAAGTTTCGTAAAAAGTTTTGTAAACTATTAAAGTCATTTTATAAATACCTCGTTTGCGTAAGTGTACGATTTCGTTAAAATGCAGCAATTCGTCTCATCTTTCTTATTTTTGCATATTGGGCTTCCATTGCAACGTTCTTCGGGAGAAATGCAATTACCAGATGAGTCATGGCAGCTTAACGAATTTTTAGGACATCCTGGGAGATGTTGAATAGAGTCATGTCACAATGCTATAGTAATTTAACAATAAAAATGTACAAATTAGCCATTATTTACCGAAACATCCAAGTTCGTCATCGCTGTGCGGGCAGTCATTATAATAATCACAACGTTTCACTTGGCTAATGCGGTCTTTGCAAGTGCACGCGGTTTCGTCGCTCGCGTCAAGACAATCGATATTATTGTCGCACCATTTTAACTGCGAAACACATTTTGAACCATCGTTACATCGATAAAAACCAGTGGGACAGCGTCGAACAAATTCTGAAAACATTAATGTACAATCTGAGAAATATTAATGTACGATTAAAATGACATTCGATCACTATATACGCTAAGTGTGTGTGTGTGTGTGTGTGCGCGCGCGCGCGCGCGCGTGTTTATATATATATATATATATATAAACATATATATATATATATATATATAAACATATATATATATATATATACAAAGCAGATAGCGCTTTTGGTGCCAAGCTATAGTGCCAAGTTATGGTTATTAAGAGAATTTTATATCATGCGATTACTATCTATAATCTATAGATTTTATATATACGATTTGAGAGTAAGGAGTAATAGCGTAGAATTCCAAAGAAAATATAAGTTATAAGTTTCTCAAAATTTTCGAAAAATCACTAAACAAAACAACGAATCAAAAATTTCATAAATTTTCATAATCATATAATTAACTGATATAATTCATTCTCGTAACGAAACAAATACCACTTAACAATATGCTTTTATAATATATATTCAGAAATATTAATACTGTGATAACTTTTAAAATGCAAATAATATCTTTATGATATTGATATAATAAATACTTAAATATATCTATAATTATTACTATGCAATATACGATTGGTATAATAATATTTTTATTCTATATTTAAAAATAAGAAACTTCGTATATAAATAAAGTAGCATCTAAATATTCTTATTACCTTTGAGGTGAGAGGTGGGTGAATTATAAAATGATTGCACGTTATGAGCTTGCACATTCTGGAAAAGCACATCGAAATTGTGATTATCTTTTACCGTTGGAAATTGATAAGATGATACTACGGGAATTAAAGTGCAAAATAATCTTCCTCTATCCATTGTATTTGTATGAAACAAATTTTGTTTATAAGTTGAGTTATTTATTGATTGCGTAGTTTGATAATTAGAATTAACGGCAAATTGCATAGGGAATTTCTGTTGATGCATGTATTGTTGTTGTGGCTGATACTGGAACGGAATAAATGTCGGCACGGAGTACGCGTGATTACTGGGTTCCAATTGCATATAGTTTGATGATGGAAGCTGTTGATAACTTGTTACTGAAAATAATCATCTAGGTGTAGACATGGAGAGATGCGGTAAGAAATATCAAAATATGAGAATTAAATGCAACTTTAGCTCTGTGAAGATTACCTACTTTTTCCAATATCTGGTACTTCCAATCAACTTTATTGTAAAACGAGTCTCTTTTATAATCATAAAAAATTGTACAATTATTGATTTTTCAACTAATATTGAATGTGACTGTTATCATTAATATCAATATTTATTTAAAAAAAGAAAAAACAAAAAAAAGAGAGCTTTTATCTAAATATTCTTTTATACCTAGCAAATCTAATCACTAACTTTTTATTTACAAGCCTTTAAAACAACTAATTATATTCGCTTAATAGACAATGGCAAATTTATTATCATCATTAATTATTAATTATTGTCCTCTTTTATATATTATATTTAACATTGTGTAAATTAATGTTATTAACCTCTTTTATATATTATATTTAACATTGTGTAAATTAATGTTATAAACCGGGTGAATATATATATATATATATATATATATACCAATCATACTCAACAACCATAATTATAATTATATAGCGCATACTGCCGCATGCATACGCTATTTTAATGTTTACCTGGCATCGATTGCATTTGTTGTCCGGTTTTGTACATTTCCATTTCATTACCACCCACGCTTCGTATTACCTGACGTTTCAGTCGATTCATAAAATAGTGAGAAACGGGTGCTTGATGCTTTGGAATTGGGACGGAATTCTTTAATTCATGATTATTTACGAATTTGATTGAATTCGCATCTACAATACGTCAATGATAAATTAGAAGGATGCAGTTTGGGATAATGTTTTTTATTTCAATTATTTCACAATAATTGCGATAATCGAATACTCGGTCTTACCGTATTTCAATATATTGAATATTATAACCGCGATTATACAGAAGCAGCAAACAATAAAAAATAATGATATGAGCAACCCTTTATTTTGATATGACACTATAAAAAATTTGTATCGACAATGAAAATAGTTGCAATTAACTTAAATTACATTTGGATTCAATTACATACTCTTTTAAGAAGGCCGGATGCCGAAAAGCATTGAAACGTAAGATTTTTGATTGTAAGAGTGATTCACTTCACTGTTCAATTTGAACTGCAAATAGTAGAAAGATTTTACAGTAAATTCCGCAAGACAATGAAACGAGAACTTGCCGCCATAAGCATTAAGTGTTTAAGTAAAATACACAACAATGTGTTGAAATTTGATACTGTTGACAAAAGTATTTTACGCGTTTGCTTTTTACATTTACAAATTTCAAGCAATGTTGATTGGTAAGAAATCACAATTATATCTCCAATTTTTAGTTTATTTTGAAAAAACATATTTTTACTCGCCTTAACAGGCTTACTGGTAGCAAATCAATTAAAGCATTTATGGCATTTTATACTCAAACTTTTACTTAGAAAATGTTGAAATTATTTGTATTCGGCTATTGATATTATGAAGTTTCAAAAGAAAAAAATTGCGGAGACACACTAAAAAATTAATGGCATTTTCAAATCAAAATCTCTACCAAGTATTTTATATGATTTTTCTTTTAATTTATAAATACGAATGTCAAAAACAATTATGACTTGATTTCAGTAGAAATTTATTTAAGAATTTATTTACATTTTCTATGATTATTGTAAACGAAATTCAATCGGGTTTACATAGAATAATACACAGAGGCCTAAACTCTGAAATTATTATTGAATTTATTATTGAAGTAAAAAAAAAAAAAAAAAAAAATTATTAAACAAATTAATCCGAAATATTGAAGATAAAAAGTAAAATTTACTATTATGATTTTATTTAATTCATTTTATTTAACTCAATATTTAACTCAATTTTATTCACTATTATTATTTATATTATGAGTTATGAAATCTTATCAATATACGTAATATTACAGAATTTATTACAATATATATTGAAATTGTAAAAATCCTAATTATAGTATTTGTCTTTATTAATTATTAGAATACTCAAATACTCATTAAACATTGCAAAATATTATTACATATTGGTGAAATTAATTTTATGGTTAAACTTAAATTAAAAAAAAAAAACATCATAAATCACGTGTGAGGAATATATGAATGTAAATTGTAACTGTATTTTATGAAATCTAATTATATACTCAAAGTAAAGCTATTGGTTTTTTTTTGTTCAGTTGGAGGTAATTATATTACTTTAAAAACAAAATTTTGTTCCTAACTCACTTAGATATAAATTTTGCCCATATAAAATATTGATAAAAATACTAGTGATAGAAATATCTATATAATATATAATTCATTTACATAGGATATTGTGTATATATTTTTAATTATTATTTAATCTTATCATTTACAATTCATTCATAATTGTTTGATAAATATAACACGACATAAAACTTATATTAAGCAATATAGTACTAATGATTTTATATGCAAAATATATAAATTTATGTGAATGTTTGTATTTGCATTCAACTAATGAATTTAATAATATTTAACATCATAAGAGTATGAAATATCTATAAATTGATTAGTTTTATCGGCAATATTTACCTTTATAAAGTCCGAAAGAACAAAATAATATTGATCATATGATTAATTTATCTCAATAGGATACTCGCAAATAATTATATTTGCAAAAACATTAATTTGTGTAACACTTCAGTTTATCAATAAATTGTAATATAATCTCTGGATATTCAATATAATACATTCAAATTATATTATGCCGTCTTAGTACAATAGCATGTTTATACATAAATGAAATATTTTATTAAAATATTAAGCATTTCTTTATTATCTTTATATTATAAATGTTTAATAAATTGAAAATGTACAAACGTTATTTATACACATTCAGGTTGTACAAATATCGAATTATTTACAATTGTTAACAATGTTACTTAATATCATATATAAATATATAGATCCCTGTGCCTGGATTCTCTGTGTTGTGATTCTTTCTCTCTCTCTCTCTCTGTGTGTGCGTGTGCGCGTGTTGGTATGGTATTCAGCTCGATATAAAATACGGTGTAAAACATAGGGTGATGATTTATTTTATCTGTGAGAAATTTCAAATGGATTGCAATCAAGGGCACTACGCTTAATCCTGGATATCATAATTTTTTTTTTTAGAAACGAAGCAAGATAAAAATTGATGAAAATAATATCACTGTTTCACACTTAGATAAATTCTATATGTGATATCTTAGATGCAATATTATCATGAATAATCATTGCTATTAGATGAAATACTTATTTTGGAAGGTAATACTATACATTTTCTTGAGCGTTAATGTTAATTCGAATATTTGCGAATTTTTGATCGTGCGGATAATGGTAATTCCTTACATTTATATTATTTCATACATTCTTTTATATATAGGCTTTGATTTACGAGGTATCGAAAAGTTTTTTCCCACATACTTGATATTACCAGCATGATGATGACATGGTGATATTTATTCCAAAAGAAGATTTGAAGAAAATATTGCGATACATTAACGATGGCTTGGGTACGTTGTCGGTAGTGTTATCCAATGATATCGACTATGTTTCGTTACAAATGTTAGATTAAATCATTGAATGAAGAGCAAAAATCTTAACTATCACTTTAAAATACATATTAATTATGAGTTACTTACTATGTAGTAGTCAACGAAGCAAAATTTCGATAGGTTTTTCTTATTTATTATACTAGCATTACTTCTTCAATGTGAGTCTGTGCGACTTCATATGTACTTATGGTTCATTGATCTATCAAAAAGTACATATCAATAAAATGATCTTTTCTTAATATATTCGCATTATCGATGTTAATTTTCAATCCGTCAACAATTTCAGTATCTTAAATTAATGATGCGAAGAATAAAATACAAGGAACATGAAAATTTTGAAAAGCTTTATATTAAAAACTTGGTATTCTTATGGATCGATGGAATTAATTTTCTGTCGTGTAAGTGATCTGATGGGAGCATACTATTCTACAGTTCCGTTAACGCCATTGTCCAGCGTAAATACGCACATACTAGCTTTTTATCGACAATGTACATCATTACTCAACACATGTTACCTAGGTAGTCTCTCTCACTTTCTCTTGAGTGGATAAAGCAGAGACGCAGGTGATTCGCGTGAACGGTTAGCCAGTCTTTGCGCCAACATCAGCACGCTAACGCGTACTTTCATTATACGTGTAACTCTTTTTATATACTTTTCAAGTTACTACTTCTAAGTATCAAATGATAATATATGATATATATATATATATATATATATATCATATGATACCATCAGAATATTTGATTAATCAATTATACAGATTGTCGCCATGTGCATTATAAGTATTATTTTTCTTTCCTGCTCATTCCATCGAAATTGTGAGAAAAGCCTTTATTAGACAATTAAAGAAAGTGAGTTAATATTTTGTGCAATTTGACAAAACCTTTAAGTGCCATAAGTCTAATGTTATTGGTGAAACTTATTACATATTCGAGCTATTATCCTTTCTACATGCTCAATATTGACTTCTAATACACTTCACGAGAATTGAAATAATTAATGGTGAAATTTATGATTATATCAGAAGAATGTCATCGAATAAATTTTATTCAATTTGCAAGCAGATTGAGATGCAGTCTGAGTACATCGGTAAAGTGGATTCCATATGTAATGACCTAACAAATGCGATAGAGGGATTTCATTATATATTCAACTATGGTAGGCATTATTATATTTAGTTACATTATATTATTTCTTAATAAATATTCTACTATAGGTAATGGTAAAAATTATTCAACAAACAAAAAAAAAATTAAAAAAAATATGGCTTTTCTTAATTAATAGTAAGATAAATTTAGAAAATTTGCAAAAATATATATGGTCCATTTGTAAAAAGTTTTTCGAAAGAAAATCTGTAAATACCCCTTGAAATATTTGATTTATATGATCAAAAGATTTGACTCTTTACATACAATTATGAATCTGCATCATATTTTACTTTATTTACATTTATATATTACTTTAATTACTTTAATTACTTATTTAAAGCTGAGTTTACCATATGTAAATTATCACTAATCAAATGGACTTACCATAATTATATATAATATATTTTCCTATAATTGCATTCTTAATAGGTATTCTCAAAAGGTTGTATTTAACGTGCGTAATTATTTAAATAAATTGTAAGCTTAACAATTTAATATTTATATAAAAAATCAGGAATGAAGCATTATAAATAAACATTGATCAGCGAATAAAATTAGATTTACATTAGTTGTGTATTGACGCATTAAATCATTTATATATTTCATATAGAAAACTATTCATTATAAATATTAAGAACTCTATTTATGTAAATTTTTTTTTGCTTCATTACGTTTCAGCTAAAAACTGTCAATTTAATTACTTTTAACTAGGAGTAAGGAATTAATAATAATATCCCATAGCATATTTATAATCAATATATAGATAATTTTATTTTATTAATAATTTATGGTTGTAAAAGTTAAATATTTTTGCATTTTTTCATTACAATTATTGAGCTGTGTTTTATCGTATAGAATTATATATTAAATTTATCATTTATTAACGTCTTAAGTCATTGAAATATATTTTCAAGTTCATTCGTTGTAATATTAAACAGAAAAATATCAAGATATTTAAGATTTATTAATCGTAAACTATTTTATTAAAAACAGAAAGAAAGGCATATGTTAAAAAAATTATAATTCTTTCAATGAAAACTATCAATTTACATGCGAATCAATGCTTATTGTTATACAGTCGACTATAGTGAGTTACAAAATATATTCTAGTCATGTAAAAAAAGTTGCGGCAGTAGAAAAGGAAACGAAATGTATCGTGTATACAACATCACCAATTTGTTTATCTAGAAATAAATAATATCTACGAATTGATAATAATAAAGGTATTTTAATTATCAATTCATAAATTATATAAGTATAAATAAATATAAGTATGTGCTAATATAATTAAAACTATTCCTTTAATTAATGTATTAAATTCTAGTTTTTAGTTAATTTTTAACAAATATAGTAATATACATTTATAATTATATATATATATATATATATATAACGTTATAACCGTATCAATAATTTAACGAAAATTACAAAACTTTTTTATGAAATACATAATTAGTTTATTGTCGCACTTTTGTTGGATTTGCTCTTTTTTTCAGTGTCTTAATTTTTAAACGAATAAAAATATTATAAATTATGTATTAAAAATAATTAATGGTATACCGATAGATTAGAAATCAGTCAATTTTTTGATAATCATAAATAAATTTAAAAAATTTTTTTTTTTTTAATAATAAAATGTGTGATTACGTACCAAGATTATTTTACATCAATTAAATTATATTTTAATATGCATAATGAGCATTTCATGAAACGATAAAATATATAAAAAAAGTTATAATTTGCATTTGTTTTTTTAATAGTAACAGAAAGGTCTATCTACTGGTTTCAAGAATGATGTTGGAAAAGAATTTCATAAACAATAATAAATATTCTTAGAAAAGTAAGTAAATAAAATTATTTGTAATTACAGAATTAAATGTAAATCATTATGAAGTTTTAATTAATATTTTAACTAAAGTTAAATTATATTTATTAACTTTTTGTCACTAAACATCCATGCTATTGGCACTTGTTAACAAAACTGCAATTAACTTTTGTATAAATGTATAAAAATACATCTATGGAATTTAAATTTTATACGTTTTTAATGCTAATACTAGTAGTATCGACAAAAATGAATACTCGATCATTTAAATCTTTTCTTTCCTCGAATAAATAGCTTTGTACTATAATATAAGCACAGAATTATCTACAACATAAGAAAGTTGAATTATAACCCTTAGAATATAAATTAGTATATGAATATTTTTTCTTGCTATATATATATATATATATATATATATATATATATTCAAGTATACTTAATCTATATGCACAGATAGTGGTTAATGTTGCAATAATTCAAGGTATTTGATAATTTTAAATGATATTTTATAAATATAGCTTTTTTATTAATTATATATGAAAATTTGCGATTCTGGAAGGTTTTTCCAATTTTATTTATGTTGATATGTACTGTTACAAGTATTTGATTGAAATATGATCGTTTATGGTCATATTTAATTTTCAATAATATATTTATTTGAATAATATAAAAATTAATTATTTTTTTAATAATAAGAAAATAACTTCTACTTTTAGTATAATGACATTTTATAATTTATGAATTCTATACATTTTCATATTGCATGTAAAAAAGTTGAATATCATCGAAGATTTGTTGCTTCTTTTATTCAAACTGTACTTTAACTACAAAATATAAATTATTATAGCTATTTGTATATATATTTGTTGAAGATTATGTTTTAATATTATCCGTACGTAGTAAATCATTAATAATAAAAATTGTGTTTAATAACGGCTATAGCAAGCAAAATATGTTGTTTATTCGGAAACAACTTAACGTTTTATTGAAAATGTTAATCATGTAGAAAACGAAGTATTGAAATATTTTAGATATCAGATTTGATGCGATCAGATATTGCTAGAAATAGGGAAATAATATTTAAATATGACGAAGATTATATTTTGTATTATAAGCGTATGGAATCTATTGATCAAATTGATTTAGATATATTTAATACATATAAATCTAATTAATTCGGACATTGTTGGGCGTCGTTTCAACGAACACTGATTTTTATTCATCATTTCACATTTATCATTTAAATAAGATGCAGAGCAATTCATCGTTTTTCAATAGAATGGCATAGATTTTATATATAAAGATTTCAATCTTACAATCTTTTATTCAAAAGTCGTTTCAGTTGCATTGGATGTGAGAAACTGACATTTTTTGAGATGATGAACTGTGTTATGCTATCTATGTCCCACATCAGAATAATAATTTTATTATATTATGATCTTAAATATTATATTATATATTTTAAGGTATAATAATGAATTCAGCGTGTTAATTTTTCTTTTTCAGGCTATGTATAAGTCCACTTATACCTTTACTATTTAACATTTACTTAATGCACTTTATATAATTGAGGTAACCGATATAATAATAATTTTCTCATGATGTCAAAATGGTAATATATAATCGTTTTTTTTTTTTTTTTTTTTTTTAATAAAGAATCTTATATATTTCAGAGAAGTTTATAAATAATTAATTCTAATGAATATAAAAATCTTGATAAATTAAAATATAAATCTTAATAACTTCATCTTGCTGTATTGGGGAAGTTTTAATATGTTAGAGAATCACGTGTTTTTTTGTATTTTATTACATCTTATGACTGCATTATTATTGACCGTATTTGAACGTTTGTCCCATTTATTTTCTGGTTGGTTTGCTATAAGTTTTTTAGCGGTCAGGTTATAACTGCAT